AAGAGCGGCTTGCTCTGGGCTGCCTGCCCCAGCATCCTACTGCAGGGATTCCTCAGGGCAGGTGGTAAAATAGCCACTGCCAAATACAAGTGGATGAGATGCTGATGTGTTATATTCTCAGGCTAGTCACTGGCTGCTCAGTTTTTCAGAACAAAAATAGGCCAGCTGAGCTGAACACCAAATAGTGAAGTGCTTTGGGATTCAGAGATGTTCTCAGTCCTAGGCCAAGAAGGACCTCTGCTATATTCCATGGACAGCACATAGCAAAGGAAATCCAGTGTGCTTTAAGAGAAACTAATTGCTATCTGCCTGAGAAGAGGAAGAAATCCTCCTCACCCATGGGCACATGGAAGCATAGGGGCTATTCATATTCCTATTACATAGGATGCATTTCATCAAAAGGTCTTGGAGGACTTTACCCCTCCATAACTGAGACCCAGAGACTTCAGTGAGCTAGATATCACCCACCTTACTAAAATGGAGGAGGAACTGAGGCATGAAGGTGGCATGTAACCAACTTAGTTATCTTGCCTATGAGTGCAAAGAAGCTGCCTGGGAAGAAATTCCCTAGGAACAGAACCCAACATTACCGGCATACTATAAAGGGGTATTTATAAGGAGCTCATGGATTAAGGCAGCTCTAGCATTGATAAAAGCAGCAATGAATTTAAGCAGCACCTGCAAGTCCTTACCAGAAAGAGAGGGTGTAGTCTCCCACAAATGTCTCACTCTCTCGCACCAGGAAAGACCCATCAGGGGCTCCTGTCTCTATGCAGTATTCTGTCAGCAGCCTCTCTGCTATGTGGCGCCCATCACGCCCAGCCCCCAGCTTGCCGTGAAACCATTTCTCCGTGGAGTGAAGTTCAGTGCTGTTGCTCACCTGACAGGAGAAAGAGGTTGATTCTCCCAAGCTACTGAGTGCTGCCACTTTGCTATGGCAGGGGCCTGCTATGCTCCAGGTGGTGGACCCTCCAACTATAGGCTAAGGGCCCCACTGCATGTTACACTTAGCACATGTTATAGTTGGATAGTAGAAATCATTAAATGTGACTTCAAATTTTCAGATCAGTTGCGTACTAATGCTTACTACAATCTAAATATAGATCATAGTACCACACCAGAATCTGGAACGGATTTGCCATTCCAAGATCAAGACTGAAATACAGCTGGTCTTTGGTCTCAGCTCTGGGACTGCTCTACAACCTGTTCAAGACTCCCGCACACTCCCAGGGCTGAGACCCAAAATAATCAGATGATTTTTGGGTCTCAGGCAGGGGAGCCACTGGAGCTGGTTGGAGACTCCCATGCAGTCCTGGGGCTGGGAAACGCAATCAGTGGATTGTGGGTCCCAGCTCCAGGGCCACAACTGATTTTATTATATCTATGGAGCAGTCTCAGGTTAAGGCAATATGTTACTTAATACAATCAGGAGATAGACCACCTTCAAAAATGCATAATCTTGATACGATACAAAAGCACTCGGCATGCTTTATCCTGTTTGAATGCTCAGACACTACTGTTTTAAGTGTGGTTAACATGCACGAAGTGTAACATGCAACAACCCCCTAAAAACATTTGAAACAATTTTTCCCTCCCCATAAAACAAAATTGTTTTGGGGCTTTAGCCCCAAACTAAAATTGAGCCATCACAACCCAAGGCTCTCACATGCTATCATCTAGGGAGAGAATAAGGCCCTCATTTTACACATACAGAAAATAAGAGCTGAGATAAGTAAGGTAAGGGCTGGCTCTCTGAAGATGCCAAGCACCCGCATTCCCTGGTGAAGTCAGTGCATAGCAGAGATGCTCATAAGTGCAATCGTCACTTATGTGGATGCCTAATGTTAGGTCCCCAAGTGTGCCGCCCTTACCTCCTTTTGTTCCTCCTCATCCTCATTTCCTTGGTCATTCGTGGTCTCCCCAGAGTAATAGATCTTGTTGCTGGTCAGGACAAAGTAATGTGGGTTCCACTCCTTCAGGGAGAGACAGAAAGAAACCTCTGCCAAAAAGGATTCATTCAAGAAGCATGCAAGTCTAATGCCTTGCTGCAGAGTTTTTCACACTGTAGTTGGTGGGACTAACAAAGGGAGTTGAACTGGTGAATTTTAGGGCTCACATAAGAAAATGATCAATGACAGATATAAGCTAAGACCCAGGCAGTCTTTTAAGACACCAAGGGTGTGTCCAGACAAGTGCAGTCATCTGGTAGGGAACATGTTTGCAGCACCACATACTATGCAGTCCAGTGTTCTCAGCACTGCAAGGGCGCACTGCACGAGCATGCGCTGCTCTGTTTTTTTTCCCCATGGTTTTTTTTGACCCCGGATATCCAGGGGTCCACACAGACAGACAGACGTGGGGAACTCGAAGCAGTGCACACTTAGGCAGCACGTGCTGTTAAAAAGCGGAGTCAGGCTGCTTGGAGCTGCGCTGCAGCTGCTGGCCAGGTTCTGCCCAGCAGGATCGTTGTGCCTGCAGCCCCAGGAGGCCCCCAGTGCTGGCCCCAGCCTTCCCTACTGCCCCCAGGGCAACTTGCCACACGCCAAAGCATGCATGGCATTGGCGTTCCCCGGGGACAAGCAGCTGCAGTGTAAGGTGCACCGCTACTACTTGCCCCCGGGGAATCAGACGTCCACACACATCTGGACACACCCCAATAGGTTAAGATGACCCTGCTAATTCAACTTCAGAAACACTTTCCAGCACAAACTACCACAATAGCACTAGATTGCAAATTATTTTGTGATGCAAACTGATTGGGGAATCAGACAAAGGATTCTTGAATACACTGTAAATGGATACTGCCAATGGGACACTTAATTAAAAAAAATACAACAACTCAGAAGAGATTCAGGTCCTGAACTAGAGCCAGAATCCTTTAAACGATTTATGCTGTTCTCATTTACTGACTCGCACCCTTCTCGGGCAGGATGGCTTCATAGGACACAAAGGTTAGTGATTTACCCACTAAGGTCTTGTTTAGTTTATAGAGGTCTGATTAGCTGAATAGCCCCTAGGCAACCTGAAGTAGATAGTGTTTTTGCTGCTGTCAAACCTACATGGTTGATGGGATCTTCCAGGTAAAGGATCCCGTTCTTTATCGAGTTGCTGATATCATTCTCTGAATACATTATGGATGTTGGCAGCTCCTCATAAGCACTGCCCTCCGCCAGCTTCTTGTGCTGCAGAACAAGATATGCAAGTTAAAACACCTCAGAGGAAGAAAGGGACTTGCAAAGGAAAGGGTGTTATTTTGTTTCTGCCCCTGACTTGAGCATCCTTAAAGTTCTTCTGATCACTACGAAGGACTCTCGCCAAATCATAATCACTAGATAAAAAGTTCCCCCTGACCTGCCCCACTTCAGTGAAGTGTCATGAGTGATGCTAAAAAAAACAACCCTGCTGTGTGCTTGTGCCCTATGGCTTTGCAAGAGCCTCGACAAACAATTTTACCTGAGACATGAGAGAGGTAGTTAGCCATGTTAGTTTGAAGTCAGGCAGAAAGCAGGATAGGGCTGCACCTTATAGACTAACTGAATCAGAGATGCATAAGCTTTCATAAGCAAGAGCTCCCTAGCATCTTACACATCTCGGATTCAGTTAGTCTATAGGGTGCATCTCTACTCTCCTTTTATGTGAGATATGCCATGACTCTGGAAACAGTTTTTACAATTTAACGGCAATTAGACCCTATACCAATTGGTCTAAAGAGATTACTCCAAAAGCCCAGAATGAGATTCTTTCCAGAGGTCACTTAATTTTACAGTAAAGATAGACATTCACAGTTCAATTAACAATCATGCGTCTATCTGGACAGGCAAAACCCACATCTGTGCAGGTTACTGGATTAAAATGAACCTTGAGACCTGTACAGTTCTATCCCGCAGTAATCACTCTCTATAAATTGACCAGGAGGACCCGAATCCCACCCAATCCTCCACAGAGCCTCCATAAAGGAGAGATGCGCCCCTCAACTCTACTTGCTTTTCTAGGACAGGATCCCCCTTTAAGCAGACGATGCTTTTAGAAGAGTAGAAAGTGTCTACTGCCAATACAAGAGGCCACAGTAACCAGACGGTGTGGCTGTACTGACAGTGAAGCAAATAATGGAGAGCTTTGACAAAGTGGGGAGGGGAAAACTAAAGATGGAAAATAATGGAGAGCTTTGACAAAGTGGGGAGGGAAAAAAAAAAGATGGACCCTGAAGCCAAACCACCAGACACTAACATCTGGATCCAGATCCACAGTCTGACCTTTTCTGATGCCTCCAGAAAAATCCAGCCTAATCCACCAAAACTGGGAAACAAAATGATCACATGGGCTTCCAGCCCACTTAAAAGGAACTCTCCCCTATGGGCTACATGAGCTCCCTTGATTTATGTGCTCCCCCTCCCCACTTTACATGTGAGGTGTGACCTGGAAAAAGAATTTTACCTTAATGAGAATCTTCCTCTTAAGCTGGTTTGGAGATGGGAGCCCATCAGCAGAAATATCTACTGGTTTGGTCAAGAGCATGTCCCCAAAGACTTTCTTAAAATTCTGAGCCATGTTCCTCTGTTGGGCAATGCTGCAATGATCTTCAATGGACAGGATGACAGGATAACTGGCCAGTGGAGATGCAGAAAGGAATGAAAAAGTTAAATATCAGAGCAGTGTCTCAGTGGGACTGAAGAACTGGGCATGTTAATCTTGTCTTGTATATCAGCCAATCATCATCTCTCCAGAAGCTTCTCTTTCTGTGATCTTTACATGGCCCAAGAACAGCAGATCTAAATGACTTACCAACCCCAACACGTATCATATCAGAAAAGCCCGTTACTCCCAGCGTACACATGGGAGGAACTGGAACACACCAGCCTGACCAAGGTTACACAGAAGACCGTGGCAGAGCAAGGACTTAAACTTGGCCCTCTTTGCTTACTTTCACTAAGTAACAAAGTATTTCAACTGCTGAACAGATTATTCTGGAGGCTGCACAGAGCTTCTGGAGCTTAGCCTCCATATTGGGACATCAAACATTAAAGGACACTTGTAAATTCAGGCATAAGGACTCTACCCTGAGCCGGGGAGTTAAAGACAGAGCTAGATCAGAGCTCCCTGATGCTAAAGTCATGTTCGTTGATCAAACTGGAATGTGTTTATGTATTAAATCCACTTCTGTGCAGAAAGGCAAGTCACTTCACTCCCACTCAAACCCTAATACAGAGGTTTGTGCAAGTCCCTGGCGCACAAGTGTTTCACCCCAGTTGAATTTGGTTCAGCTCTCTAAAGTCTCTGCTTTCAGTACACCATGCTAGACTCAGCAAACTGGGATCCCAGGATCCCTCCTTGACTTACTCAGAGGTCACAAAGGCATGCTCCTTGATGGTGACCAAGACATCAGAGAATTTGATTTTGGTGGTTAAGGTGTGTCCATGATAAATCACTGGCATCCCATCTGGGCCATCCCAGCAATCCACTGCAACAGAACCAAATGGGAAACTTAACTGAAGCCCAGTGACATAAGACAGACAGAGATACAAGGGCTGAATTGAACTGCAGAGTTACGTGCAGTGAGATCTACGTCGGATAGGAAAAAGGAGTGGTGAAGTGCATATGCTTTTTGAGAGAACAAATATCCAGTGTAGTGAGAGACAGTTGCACACAATCTCATTAACCCCTCTGATACCTGCACATATACAAACTGAAGCCCCTGGCACATTACACTTAAGAGAAGATTCACCAGTTAATCCCATCAGCTGGCAGCGGTCCCAGCTGCAGGATCTTGCTACTGGCCAGTGTAGGGAGAGCCCAGGATCATGATTCCAGGCTCCCCATGCGCCGACAATAAGGTGTGGTGGGATCTGATGCTGGATCCCACAATCACACCTCCTGCCATGCATATGTGGCATGGCAGGAACTGTGACTCGGGGAGTCCTGCAGCAGATCCCATCATACCTTTACTTGCATATCTGCCAGAAGCCCGAGTTAGGTTGGGCATAACTAGAGTCATAACAATATGCAGCAGGACCCGACAACAATACTGATATCAGCACTTCTTCCGTCTTTCATGCAACACCCTGATAACACTCTACAAATTTCCATGGGTTAGACCTCAGTCAAAGCTAAAAAAGCAAATCTCTTCCTTACAGGTGGGGACAAAATACAGTGTGATAAAGTGATGACTCACCCAGGTCACAGAGCAAGTTAGTGTAAGAATGAGATTAGAGCCTCATTGAGCTGACTGACATTTTCTGACTGAAACTTTCTTCCCCAGTTAAAAAAAAAAAAAAAAAGTTTTCTTGAAAGTGAAAATATTTCAGGATAACAATTTAATTTGCACTGGATTTCCACTGCTCTGATTAACCAAGTTCTAAATGGAAATTTGTTTCACTGCAAGTCTACAGTATGCGTTGATTTTTCTCTTGAAAAAAAAAAAAAAAATTCTCAAGAGAGCCTGTTTCACTCAGAGGATTTTGTGGAGAACACTAGAATTTTTGTTTAAACCAGCTCCATCCCCAGACTCCTATGCTTGTCTCTTACTGCAGAAGCAGGTTGTCTCCTGGAATACCGCATAAGGGGAGAGAAAGACAAAGTCCCAGTCCTTATTCCCAGGCCAAAATGTTTTAAAAATGGGATGGGGTATAAAATAGTTGGAGCTCTACCTGCATTACTGCCCTATTGCTCAGTGTATTACCTGGCACAAAATGGAAACATGGCTGCACACCCTCTAAAAAAGCCCAAGACACAGCCCCTGAGGCAAACCATTTCCTAAAAGGGAAGGCTCACACACAGCACTACAGCTTCTCCTTTATCTGCAATAGGAGCCAGAGGCCTCATGAGAGAGCAGCATGCCATTGCTGAAAGATAGAAGCCAGCCCATTGCTGAGTACTCACACTCAATGCAGCGGCAGCCCATGCGCAGGCAGCGAGCGTATGCTTCTAAAGAAGACTCACTCGAGAACTGGTCTCCCGTCAGGTACCTTTGATGCAGAAGAAACATGCTGTCAGGAAGTGAATGGTCTGAGACCTTTTCAAAGGGCCTCATATAATCAAGTAGGTTGGTGCAAAACTTGAGGAGGGGGAAGAGGGGAGACCTCCCAAATACCCCATTGTCCAAATCTACATGAAAGGTCTGAGTCCAGTTACTCCCTGTGCTGCTGGGCTACAAAGTCAATCCTCAGATCTGTGCATATTCCGGCTGTGGCATCTCTGGCTGAGCAAATAGGCATATAAACTCCAGTGAGTGATAGTGCCACTTGCTCTGCCAGACACTAACACAAAGCCACTGGTACTGGCCTTAAGGAGGACATTTCCTTTCCACGTTTCTAAGAGTTTTTTTGCGTTGTGGTAAGTGAAACAGCTGATCTTGCCTTGCCAGGGTTTTTCTTACAAGCCTCTTTAGGAGGCTAGGGAAGTTGAGAACATCAAGAGAAGCAAAACGACTGGACAACAGTCCAGGCTCTCAGCCTGCTACCAGAGCAGAGGTGTATCTGGCCATGCACAGATGGAAGTACTGAGAATCAAGCAACAAGGAAGACTGGACTATGGGGAAATAGGTATCCTCGATGTAACTGAACACAGAATGGAAGTCCTCTGGCACTGGCATGTCACAGGGTGTGTGAAAGGGTCAACAGAGAAGTACAATATCACAAAGCAGAACAGGACATCTGGAAGAGTGGGAACAAGTTGGATGGAATGAGAGAAGTTTCCTTTGCCCTTACGTGTTATGTGAGGAGGATATCCAGTAATGGGAGAGGGGGTTATTCATGTTCTCTAGACACACTGCATCCAGCTGCGAGTTCCAGATGCTGTTCTCTTTGGAAAATAGGAAGGTGAGAAACTGAACAGAAAGAAAAAAGAAAGCATTAGTGTGAATTAGGATTTTATGCTGGTGATAAGGCAGGCACAGACATGGGCCTAGGACCTTTCCCAACTTCAGTGCAGACCCCACCCAACAACCGAACCCATGGGGGCTGCTCAGTGACTCCTATGAGTACAGATAGTAAAAAGATCTGACTTAATCCTCACTGAAGTCACTGGACTGGTTCTGCTGAGAGCAAGACTAAAAGTTCCAGTGGTGGAGGACTGCTTTGCCCTTCTTACAATGGTTACGGCTTCACCTTCTTTTCTGAAACTCAGAACGCATTTATACCAGCCAGGACCATTAACCTGAATTTAATCTTTTTCTGCCAACAGTTTTGACTATTTGGAATAATCATCAATGCCCAAATAGTTCAATTTCAAGAAAATACTACAATGCCCAATGGGTTCTCTCAGTGCCATGAGATCATGGAGCACTTACACAGGGAAATCAGGTTCCTGCTGTCCAGTCTCTGTCACAGGGAGTGGGGACTTAAATTATCTTGTGAGCCATAGTGACAATATAGCTTTTTGAAGTCATTTGACTAAAGAGATACAACAATGGCTGATAATGGCACTGCAAGCAGCATTTGCTAATGTGGACCTAAGGTCATACAAAACAGCACACACCCACTCAGACTCTGAGTCACATCACATGGAGTGACTGAGGCTCTTTCACCTTATTCTCAACTCCCTTCCACCCCCACACATACTCTCCTTCTGCAGCAATAGCTGTCCAAGAGTCTTACCTCATCTAAGGAGAAATATGGCTCTTCAATCTCCCTCAGTGGATCTCTCAGAAAGCTAAACATGAACTCCTGCACCAGGTTTAGGTCTGTAGCCCAGAGCTCCTGTATACAGAGGGAGTGGGGAGGGGAACAGTTTTGAGTTATACAAAGTGAAGCTTTGATTAACACCCCCCCAAAAAAAAACAAACCCAACTTACAATTCCGTCAACTAGAGGATCTACTGTATATAGCTGAATACAAGATGAGGTCCCCCCCATGGGGAGAAAACCCTCCCCATGTTTTATAATCACATACAAGGAAATCTCACTAAATACCCTATCTATTATTAAACTGCTGCCACAAGAAGTATGTGCTCAGCAATGGAACCCAACTATGAAGCTGATTAAAATGCAGCCAACACTGAGCAAGACTATACAATACATGGCCCACACTGAATTCCCTGTCCCCCTGGGCCCTCATTGAGCTCACCATCTGATAGTCCAGTAAGAATTTCTGGAAATCCAGCAAGGACACCCGGTAGTGTTCAGCTCTTTCCCCACTTCTGGAGGAGGAAACAAAGACAACAAAATCAGTGATCCCATCAGGCTCTGGCATCCACAGGATATAGGAAGTCACTACTGATCCAAACAACACATGCAAGGAACCAATTCAACATACCTCAGAGAAACACAGTAAAGCCCCACCACATTGCAAAAGAGAGAATGTGCCCCACACACACACAAATGAAAGAAGCATACCAAGATGGATACAGGAACTCCTCTGATCCACCTGTATCTATGCCTCCGGGCACCCCGATACCAGAAAGAGAACATCAAGAGAGAAAACCCAGGGAAACACAGCAAAAGTAGCTGAGCAACTAGAAGGCCTGATTTATAACCAATGATTAAAAGGGCTCAATAGGTCCAGGCAGACCTAAGGCTTAACTTGAGGCAGGAAACGGTAAAGCTCCATGGCTATTTGAAGGGCATGCACATCAAGGAGGTAGAGTGATTACTATACAACAGGGAGCCAGAACCGGGGGTGGGATGAAGCTGAAGAAAAAAATCTTGGTATTTATTTGTTCTCAACTTCCCCTCACTGAAAGGCACTGCACTGCGTAAGGGTCAAAGAAGGGACAGAAGGGAAGCCCTGATGCTTGGGATTACTAGAACTAGAACAGCTAAGGCACTAGAGAGATGAACTGAGCGAGGTATTGGGTTTTTCCATCCCTGCCTTCTAGGAATTGGTCTAAAAATGTATTTAGCTGCACCACAATTGCACACTGACCCTTGAGGAGTGTGGTTGGACAATGTACTTCAAGAATTGCTCGGGCAGAACCAATGCTAAGAGGCAGCTGGGAATCCACTACCAATGGCCTAAACCAAGCAGTCCCAGGTCTGGGAGTGTCCCACTTGTAGCACAGGTCCTGGGATGCAGGCCACACATAGCACCTGCACTAGCTGGTCTGGGACCCACGTTGT